GGGGGGAGTTGTAAAGAAGTGATTAAAGGACAGGTAGAAGGGGGAAAAGAAGGAATAGATAGAAAGGAGGAAAGAGACAGGGCAGAGAAAACCCCAACAATCCCCTCTGAGCAAGCACCAGTGGGAAGGAAAAACTGCCTTTAAACGGGCAGAAACCTGCAGAACCAGGCTCAGGAGGGGGCAGTCAACCACTGGGACTGGTAGGGGGGTGAGGAAGGGAGAGAGGGGAGAAAGAGGGCAGAGGAGAGGTGAAAATTAAGATGGAACAGAGGTGGAGGAAGACAAGGTGTTATGATCTGGCTCAAAGGCCGCAACATAAAAAAGGAGACGAACACCAGATTGTTAGTGAGAAGAGGTTTTATCTTAAAATAGAATACCAGGTTGGCTAAAATAGCTAGTGCCACCAAGGCAAAGACAAGTGAGCCTCAGGTATGCTTTTATCCACACCTGACTAGGTGTGGCCAATTAGCACCAGCTGAACACACTGAGATGATTAGGGGCTGCAGAGGGACGTAACACAAGGCTACAGCAGGTGGGGAAGCATGCCTTCCAACTGCTCATTTCTTCTCTGGATTTCTTGAAGCGTATGCTGCAGGTCTTCATGTATTTTCTCTTGTTGTTGCTTTTGCGCCTGCATTTCAGTGTTTTCGTGCTTCAAGTTGCTGAAGTTCAACATAATCCCCTTAATGAGCTCTGAGTTGTTTTTCGCCATTCCATTGATCCTATGCTGCATCTCCGAGCTTCGCTTTTCCACTTTTTCCTTTTCTCATTCTAGTTCGGTTGTTTTGTCCTTCAAAGTCACCGTTCCATCCATTCATGATGATGAATGGAGGGAACATGAATGTCTGCTAAAATAAAGAACACACTGTTTCTTTAAGAACAAAAAAGACAGCATAAACCGAATACTGTCAGTGTAGAGCACAGGTGTCCTGCAGGTTTTAGATGTGTCCTTGAACCAACACAGCTGATCTAAATGGCTAAATTACCTCCTCAACATGTCTTGAAGTTCTCCAGAGGCCTGGTAATGAACTGATCACTTGATTCAGGTGTGTTGACACCCTCGAGGCCTGGAGTTCAACACCCCTGGTGTAGAGGATCGACATAAAGGACAACTCATGACCATCTGCTGACATCTTGTTGAATTCAGTTGTGTACATCCACACAGAGCAGCAGGTCAGCTGATCACAGCCTGCACATTAATAAAATCTACTGAGTTCTCAATAGAAATTATTTTTGCGTTGTCATTCTTTTCCCCACACTGAGCCATTGCAACCCATTTTAGGATTCCCCCACCTGTTCCATCCTACTTTAGCCCCTGACTGTGCACATTTTCCCGTTTAGAGGCAAACTCACTCTATGCAATGTAGGCAACAGAAAATAAATAGATTGTTCTTCATTTTCATTTTTCTTTAGATTCAAGCTAAGCATAATCAGAATAATAAAATACTATACTAAAGTTTGTATTCCCATCTGCTGAGTACACTATTACTGGAGTATTTTTTAACAGTAGTATCTGTACTTGTACATAAGTACCGAATGTTTGCCATCTCTCTGACCAGAATCAACTTTTTGGGATTTCTTTACCTGGATGATTGAGCATGCATCGGGACAGCGTTTCACTGTGTTTTTCTATCCACAGTGGAACACTGCTGTGGACGATGCTTTTACTGCATTGGCAGTGTCTTTGCAATCACCCTCATAATGAAAAATAAAGCTGTTGCCAATCAGCTTCTTTCCAGTTGATATGTACGGTGCATCAATTTTAAAATTCTTTTCTACATAAAACATGTTGCTGCTGATTTTTGGTCCAGTTCTTGTGTAACTTGGCATATTTCATCCTTTGCTCCTTGTTTTCTGTTCTTACGAATGGCTTCTTGACGGCTGTCCTTCCACTGAGACCATTTCCGTAGAGGCTTCAGTGAACAGTGGATGGATCAACTGAAGGCCAGATGCATATCTCAGGTCCTGTATCGGATCTTTCCTGTTTCTTAAGGACACAAATTTAAGATGCTGTTCATTTGCTGTAAATATTTTATGCAGCCCTGTCACTTTTTCCTTTGTCTTCCACTTAGCCAGTTTCCAAACACTTTTGTTACTTTTCATATAGTCAGCTAAAGAAATGAGAGTAAGTGATGTTTTTTTCTGCCTTTTCAAAATACTTTTTAGCCAGTTTGCAATTTGCACTAAAACAACTAAAAAGCATCTCAGTGGTGGGTTGCTGAAGGATTCTGGCGTGAGA